CATATAATTTGATGAGGACATCCCAAATCTCCTTTGCTGTATTCTTTTCCGCAACACTGGATAGTACGAAATCTGTCATTGCTAAATGCAAATTTGCGATAGCGTTGCCATCAATTTCCTTCCACTTCTGATCCGTCATTTCTGCGGGTCTTCCTTCAATTGCATCAAGGCAATTGTTCTTTCTCAAAATTGCCTTCATCTTCAATTTCCATAACGAGAAATTGTTCCCATTGAACTTCTCTATCTCATACTTTGCTGTCATGGTTATATTTCCACTTATGCAACTCTCACTTATGAATAATATTGTCTACTGGAACAATAGTAGTAGACCGTGAACCAGTACACCAGGTAAGTTCCCAGGAAAGAGAGGTGAGTCACTAATGGACACACTTAAATACCAAGTCTTTCTTAGTCAGAATTTTCCCAGACAACAGTTTCACACTACCACACATTTTCCAGTAAAAACTCTTTTTCTGATGTGGAAGATTAAACCGCAATCACAGAGCATACTAAGAATTTTACCAACACTATTCTAGTGACTAGCACAACGGAATAAGAACATGGCTCTGATACCACTGTTAGGTATCAGACTACTTGCACAAGAACTCAACTAAAATAGAGAAGAGAAAAATTGGATAGCAATAATAGACAAAAGTAGAAATTTTATAATAGAAAGAAAAAATTACATACCCCTTCTTTAGTCCTAAGAATAACAACCCTTTCTAATACTAGAGAAAGAAAGAAAATTTTATAAAGTAGTCACCCACGTGGGACTTTGTTCTCACAACATAATTGATTATGTATTTACGTAAGAGGTATTTTAGACAATTTATTCACGTTTTTTTTATAAATCAAGATCTTTTTTTCTTTCAAATATGAAGATTTGTCACTACATAAGATCCATACTTAAATCCCTACACATCCATGCAGATCCATGTATACAAACAAGATCAAAAAATCTATCCAAATCTCTCCTCACAAATCAAGTCAACAATAAATTAACAGAAGCAGAGAAAAGCTCAGTGAATTCAAATAATGCATAATTTCTTTTGCAATGGAACTTGAACATAATCAGTCTCATGTTTATAGAATTAGTGAAGTCGAAATTTCTGAAACATGTTATATTAGAAAATTTATGTGAAAAGCTCGCTCACATCGCTTTAACACTGCATTAAGGATTTACTAGGTTAAATGTAAAGATAAATTATATATTATCTTGATATTTTTGTCAAATTTTATAAAATAAATAAATTATAACAAGATGGTTTTTAAATTATTCATATTTAAATATATTTTAAGAAATTTATTATCACTGTTTTAAATAAATGAGTATTAAATAATTGTGAGTTATTATACATATAAATTTTTCAATTCAATTTTATTATAATATAATCATTTATGTAAATTACACCAATGTTATATATAAACAAAAGATGCACATAAATCTAATTATTGACTTCTCCCTTAACTTGGTTAACCTTTGGTTTAATCACTAAAATATACACCATCTTCATCTAAACATTCATAAATACTACTTTTTTCTATTCCAAGTAATAATAGCTTTATGACACATTAAGAAATCCATTAATATAATTTAAATAAAAAAAATACCTTTAACATTTTAACCATTCTTATATTTCTTTTCCTTCCAACTACTAATTTATTAATTTGTTTTTTCAATTATATCTAAAGATATTTTGAAAAATAATGGAATGAATTATTACTTATAATTTATGAATATTATACAAGAGAAATCCAATAAACTATTATTTAATTATTATTTATTAATAAAAAATAAAAAAATTAAGAATTAATCTCATAAATAGTATATTTAAAAAATGACTTAAATAAATTTTTTATAAAATTTATTATTTGTATAATAATAAAAAATAAATATCGACTTACATTTAATTTTCATTTATTTTTTCTTTTTATTTACTTTTTATTATTCTTATTTTTTTGTTTGGTGTTTTTTTTCTCTCTTCTTCTTTTATTCTTTTATCATACGTCTTATTCTTTCAATTAAAAATATTAAATTAAAGTCTGATAAAATAAGTTTTTTATTATTTAAAAAAAATAAAAATATTTAAATTATCTAAAAATATTATAATTTAATATATTTTCTTTTAAAAAAAATATATTATAAATTTAAAATATTAAAAAATATATAATTTATTTTAAAAGAAAAATTACTCAATTATATTTCAAAATAAAAGTTACTAGAATATGTATTAATTTATTTACTTCACTAGATCAGTTTGTTCATGTATAGGTTTTTTTCCTCTTCTCATAAGTTTATCTTTTTTATTCTTTTTCTCCTCATTTACTCCTTTTTTTTTTCTCTGTTTCAGTTTCTTATTTTTCTCTCTCCTCTCTCACCTGCTCTTTTAATGAAAATTTATTATATTGAAATTTAATAAATTTGTGTTAATATAAATTTTTTAAAATCAATATTGAAATTAAAAATAAATATCAAATAATTATCTATGATGATAATAAATAATTTTATTTATTATGACAATAAATAGTTCTATTTATGATGATGTAAATAATTAATTTTAAATTATTATATTATAATAAATAAATCATCTAATTAAAAAAATATCGGATATTTATAAATTAAATGCATTTTTATTTATTAATTTAGTCTAATTATAATTAGGTTGAATTATGATAATTAATCATATTAAGTAATTTAAAAATTATAAAAATTTATTTTAAAATAAATATTTAATTTTTTTAATAACTATAACATAAAATTAATCTCATAAATAATATATTTAAAATAAAAAATTACTTAAATATAAGTTTTATAAGTTTATTTATTCATCTAGACTCAATTTATTGTTAATAAACAAAAATTTAATAGTGGTTTAATATATTTTACTTTTAAAAAAATATTATATGATAAATATTAAGGTATTACAGATGTTATAGTATAAAAAAATATTTCTTTAACTTTTTTGATAAATATTTTTTTAAAATATTTACAAATCATCTTAACTGAACCTAATTATAATTAGATTAAATTATTAAATAAAAAATATATTTAACTCTAAAATATTTGATATTTTTTCATTAAATGAGTAATTAAATACGATAAAATAATTTAAAATTAATTATTTATGTCATCATAAATAAAATTATTTATTATTATTTTAATTTTAAATAATTAGTTGATAGTTCCAATGTTGATTTTAAAAAATTATTTTAACACGTTTTTATTAGATTTCAATATATAAGTTTTGATTAGAAAAATAAGTGGGAGAGAAGAAAAAAAAGACAAAATTCAGAAAATAAGGAGTGAATGGAAAAGTGAAAAAATAAAAAATAAAAGAAAAAAGAATAAAAATCGTATAAAAACAACAAATAAATCTATTTAAATAAATTTAATAAAGATTATATTTAAATAATTTTATTTTAAAATATATTATTTATAAAATTGATTTGAAAAATAATTTTCTTTAAATATTTTCAACCTCTTTTAGAAAATTATTTTATTTGTGAAAATTATTCAAATACTTACTCTAATGATTAGATTACCATAGAATGACATCTGTATAACAATTATCTAAAAATAATTTGATACGTTCAAGAAATGCTTGAAATATTTAATCATAAAATGCCTTTCCATATATATGTTTAAACAAAAATCAAATAGGTACTAAAAGAATGATAAATGCTTCCAAAAAAGAAAAAAATAGTTGTGTATTTATATCCTAGTTTTTTTTCTCTTCAAATTTCAAATTAAAAGACTATATATTGCTAGGTTTCTTAAAACTCCTATTGAATCCTTAAAGAACTCACTAATTATGTTAGTTTATATCTTATAATAAATAACAACATTTATATCATGCAACTCTTTCCAAATAAGTTCAATACTTATGATTACATAAATTTAACTAATCTTAGATTTAGGGGAGGTGGCAAAAAGAGTAATGGTCTCTAAAAACTTTTAATTTCCTTTAAATTTTATTAAAACATTATTTTATAACCCCTTAAAAGGAAAATTATATATGTTAACCTTTTTTACTAATTTTCACGAGAAAGTTACTCACCATAATAAAATAAATCTCAATAGCTTTTTGATAGAAAGAAAAATATATACAATTTCCTTACCACAAACCTGGTTTAACCTTTGCTCGTGTGGGTTAAGACTATGTAGTGGGTCGTCCCATGTTGACATGGTCGGTTTGCATGTGCACTTGAATTGGTTTATGGCTCCCACACTCTTTATTATTACATCACTGCCTCATCCTTCGTCCTCTTCTTCCTTTTTCTTCTCAAATAAAATAAAATTTCAAACTTTCTTCACCCTTCTTTCCCATACTTTATTCTTTAATTAATTAATGCGTAATACATAGTCTCAATCCTTTTCGTGGATCATGATTCTGTCTGCAGATTAAGAGTAACGTTTCTGAGCCCACACTGATTATAATTATGATTAAATAAACCAAAACGCATTTAGTACTAGCATTTTTCTCACTAGGATTTTCTTAGCTTGAGAGAGAGAGAGAGAGAGGGTGTTTTTAGTTTTTACTTGAGGGCTTGGTGATTGGTTCTTTTCCATGTTTCCCTTTCCGGGGATTCTTCTCTTTTCCCCATGAATTTTCAAAATATCTTTTTGGGCTTTGGGCTTTGCTTTCTTTTGTGGTCACTCTCTTTCTCTCTCTCTCCAGCATGTGGGTTCCATGCTTTTGCCTCCGAAGGAAATGTAAAACATCACCCTGCTGAGTTTTTGATCTCCGGGCCTGACTTTTTGAGATGTGGTTTCTGAGTCTCAGAACACACTGCAGGGCATGTTTAGTTTAGTTCTCTGTTTCATGTCAGCATATCCATTCATTTTTACTGCAAATCCGGCTTCTTCCAATGGCTGCCTTCTTCTAGGGTTCTCTTCTATCTGATTTCACTCTGCCAAGGTGGAGACTCACAACTGGCTCATGAAGAATTTGACTTGAGAACAATTTTTTCCCATTATTTCAGAAGAAAAACAAAAACAAATGGAATCTGGAGGTAGGTTCTACTCAGTTGATGAGTTCAGATTGGACCCCAAATGGCTGATTGATCCTAAGCATCTCTTTGTTGGGCCACAGATTGGGGAGGGAGCTCATGCCAAAGTCTATGAGGGAAAGTAAGTTCATATTTCCAAACCCCATTTCCTATTTCCTATCCACAAGGTTAAATTTTCTATCTTTACTTATTGGGAAATTGCATATGTGACACCTGGATGTCATTTGCGATTTGTAATTATTGATTGTGTGTGTAATTTACTGATTTGTAAAGCATCATTCTCTATAAATGTGTTGAATTGGGATAATGTTACATCTTAATTTGGAGTTTGGTTGAACTTCAGCTTCATTTCCTGCAACAATCACGAATGGACCTGAATTATACTTCAGTGATCCAAGTAATTGTTATGAATTTTTTCATGAAGTTTCCAGTTTTATCAATCAGCTTCTAATGCTTTTGCTGGGTTGTTTCAGATATAAAAACCAGACTGTTGCTATTAAAATTGTACACAAGGGTGAGACTGCGGATGATATCGCCAAGAGAGAAGGGCGTTTCGCAAGGGAGGTGGCAATGTTGTCAAGAGTGCAACATAAGAACTTGGTGAAGGTGGGATTTTGGTTTAGGCTTTCACTGATTCTTATTCTTGTGTCTGTTGTATGTTGATGAAGCAAAGAGATATGTATGATATACAAGAACTAGTTGTTTTATGCCAAGTTTCGAACTAGTGATGAAAAATATTGCCACTCTGTTTGTCGACAGTTTATCGGTGCCTGTAAGGAGCCTGTAATGGTGATAGTCACCGAGCTGCTATTAGGAGGAACATTGCGTAAGTATTTGCTAAACATGCGTCCCAAATGCTTGGATAGACATGTTGCCATTGGTTTTGCACTTGATATTTCACGCGCTATGGAGTGCCTGCATTCTCATGGGATCATCCACCGTGATCTTAAACCTGGTAATAATTTGGTTTGCTCTCTTTTAATAAACTAAAGTCAGATCCAGTAGATGTTAGCTTGTATACATTGTAGTTTACGTTAATTTGCATTCCTGTGAAAATTCATGACTGGTGTTGAAACAATATTCTTTAAGACAAGATTTCTATCTGTCTAAAATAGAAATTCCATAATCAAATGTACTCTCTATTTTATATGCAAGTGGCCTAGCCCTAATGTGTGTTTTTCAAATCTGTTTTTATTATTCTTTTCCTTTGATGTTCATGTTTACATATTAACCTCTTATTAGCAGAAGTTAAGTTCAAAACAATATCACATGAGGGTTCCAAATCCTTTTCTTTTTAACCCTTGTTGTCACTTCTCACATATGCTTACGCGCGTGCCATTTTATGTTAATTGGATGCCACCATCAGATTCTTCTGCATTTCTTCGTAACTGTTCTGTTGGTCAGATAGTTTTTATTGGAGAAAAAATTAACGCAATTAAATAACTGGTGAATATTTGATACAATCAGATTTTAAGTTTGCTTAGTATGTCCATTATGAGAGATAGAACTTAGATCTTTAGGGAGTATATTGAAATGGAATGAGTGTTCACTTAGGTTATTGTTTCATCCTACAAAGCAGTCAAAGTAAACATGAAACTACTTTGAAAACTGTACTTCTCATCGTCTATGATTGTGTTTTACTGGAACTGAATTGATCAGTTGTTGTGTACATATGCATTTTGGTTTCAAATCTTTTCATTGGGATTTTAGATTTAAATTAAGTTACAATTCTTTCAGTAGTATGATATATGATGACAACTGCTAGGAATTGCTCAAGTTTGTTCTCATCATATTGTGCATGTTATATCTGCTAAGTGTAAGCTCGGTGATATCATTATAAAATTTATACTTAAATGAACAAGCTTTAATTGGTTTTTTGCTTCTAAACACACACTTCTCTGTGTTATTATTTAATAAAGCTTGATTTAGTGCTCCAATATAGAATGACTAGCGATATTATATACCTCAACATTTCCTTGAAGGGGAGTTGGACTAATGGACTGTTATATGTAAATTTGACCAACATGCTATAATATCTTCCTGATTAAATTATAAGCAACAAAAAATATTAATAAACACAACTATAAGCGAATTTTGACTACGTCCACCCTATTTATTTAATGACACCATCACAAACATGCCCTTCAATTAATTGAGATTTATTTTTTATGGCTTTTTTATTCTTGATATCAAGTTACAATAAACCACACATTAGGATAAAAACTTTTTTTTTTTACTGTGATTAGTTGAAGACTTAAATGATATTAATTGTCTTTCTTAATTAGTGCAAAACTTAGTTAATTTTGCTTATATTTGAGTCGGGAGAGAACTGTGCATGTTTTGTGAAAACATTTCTTAATTTCCATGGCAAAACAAAATAGCATTCTTATTCATGTTCTGCTATTAGCTGTTCAGTAAGTAAGCATCCTTTTATGAGTTGTAAAACTTTTCATAGTGTTGAACATCTACATAATGAATATGAAGATCTTTTCAACTTCCTCTATACAGATAACTTGCTGTTAACTGAAGACCAGAAAACAGTCAAGCTAGCAGATTTTGGTTTAGCAAGAGAAGAGTCATTAACTGAGATGATGACAGCTGAAACAGGAACCTACCGCTGGATGGCTCCAGAGGTATATTACTGAATAGATGCACTCTCTGTCTTCTCTCCGTATTTATGAGCATCTATAACTGATTACAGTGACAAAAATTGCAGTTGTATAGTACTGTCACACTGAGGCAAGGGGAGAAAAAGCATTACAACCATAAAGTTGATGCTTATAGTTTTGCAATTGTGTTGTGGGAGCTCTTACACAACAAAGTTCCTTTTGAAGGCATGTCAAACCTTCAGGCAGCATATGCTGCAGCCTTTAAGGTAAAAAGATCATTTGGCTATTACATCTTTTTATATGACATTGTTTTTGAAGTTAATCTTCCTTATACTATTACATCTAGCTGATAACATAAAGTGCTTCTTTTGGTTTCAGAATGTAAGGCCAAGTGCAGAGAATCTTCCTGAGGAATTGGCTCTAATTCTTACTTCATGCTGGCAAGAGGACCCAAATACCAGGCCCAACTTCACCCAGATAATCCAAATGCTCCTTAATTATCTCTACACTGTTGCACCACCTGAACCCATGATTCCTTCAAGAATATTCAGTTCTGAGAACACTGTCTTGCCGCCAGAGTCACCGGGAACTAGCTCCTTAATGGCAAAACTTGATGACACTGGCGACACACCAAGAGCAAAGGACGAAGTCAAGCCTAACGGTTTTCTTTGCTGCTTTAGTCAGTGTTATTAACTTCCGAAATCTAGTCTGAGTTAAAAATGGCATAAAAAATGTTAGATAGAATGTAGTCCAAAGAGATCCTTTTGACAACTCGGTAAATTTTCAGATAAAAATACCTTTCCAATTCCAGTAAAATTTAGTTCCTTTTTCTGCAATCCCACCTGGCATGTTTTTTCATGTCACATAGATGTATGCATAGGATTTCAGTCTGTTGACACTAATTGATCATCCAGCATTGTTCAGATTTGCACCTTTAGTTTCTCAATCATTGGATTATATCTTTGATTTGGTTTTACCAACCCAAAGGGGTGTATAGTGGACACAAGAAAATTATGAGCCTCAGTTGTAGGATTCATACTGCAGCCAAGGAAAGCAATGGTCGGACAAAATGATCAAAACTCAAGTATTTCGATAGCCATTGGTTCATATGCTTGATGATTTCTATTTTCTCGTAGACAAAGCCCCCCTAAATTTGTTTTCTCAATTGGATCTGAGTCATAGTGCTCAAATCTTTATATATAAAAGGGGCAAGCAACAACGTTCTTCTTCTACAATATAAGATGTTTGGGTTACCAATAAGCATTGAAGGAACCCCTCATGTTTGTTTTCATTGATCTGTCCTCAATTTTCTCTTTCGTGATCGTGCCTTTTTTGTTTGTATGATGTGGTCTAAAGGAGTTGACCGTCACCACCATAGAATTCTAAGTTCTCATATATTATATGGCATTTTTTGTGTGTGGAAATGTCAGCAGAGAAACTGTGACAAGAATTGGTGAAATGAAGGGTTGACAAGATGAGGGGACAAAAGGCGAGTCTTTTATCGAAAAAGAATATTAACAAATAACCAGAAATAGAGTGACTAAGTTAAGAAAAATGACATAATTTAGTTTGAGAAAATACTTGATATGTCTACTTTGTTTCTATGTGAGACATCTAACTAAATTTGCTCAAGGTCTGTTTGGATTTTAGAAATTTAACATTCATTTAAAGTATTGTCATAATTGAAATTAATGAATAAAAATCCTAAATTGTTGTATGTATGGAAAGAAAGAAGTAATGTAGATATGGAATGAGAATTTTGAACTGAATAAGAGGAGGTGAGTGGGTGGAGGATGTGGACAGTGGTAGTGATAGGAAGATGCCAAAGGAGAGAGTGATTGAAGATGGTAATGGAGAGAGTGAGAAGAGGACAAGAGAGATTATTGTGATTGGAAGACACCTCCAATAGTAGTGGTGATTGAAGATCATAAGATTATGGCAATGATAATGATGGCTCAAGGATATCAAATGGATGATAATGACCAAAAGCACCAACAGTGGTTGCATTTATATATATGAAAGCTCCATCCTGGATTTTATGCTACAATGAAAAAACTACATAAAATTTTATCATCTTACAGGAGATTGCCTCTGATTCATTTAGATTAAAAATCAGATTAGAATTTTTTTTTCCATAAACACTTGAAAAGTAATTAAAAAATAAAAAATGGACTTATAAATAAAAAATATAAACACATTAGATTTTATCACGTTTATCAAAATTGGATTACCGCAAGAAACCAATATAGAAATCGATCTTCTTCTTTTTTTATTAGTTTTTTTTTCTCTTTTATCTTTTATTTTATGCTAATCATGTTGACTTAACAATAATATTATAATAGTTTTCCATTATTATTATTATTATTATTATAATTTGTATTACAATTTTTTTCTTTTAAAAGACATGTAAATAGTAATATTTATTTTATAATTACAATATATTATTATATTATTAATATATATATATATATATATATATATATATATATATATATATATATATATATTCATTGAGTCGATTTAAAGATTCAAGATTGAATGAGTTTAACAAAATTATATATATATATATATATATATATATATATATATATATATATATATATATATTATCTTTTAAGTTAAAATTAATTTAAAATGTTTATTTGTAGAAATTATATAAATTCTTTATTTTTTTAAATAAATGCATAAATTATTTTTAAGTTAATGAAATTTAATTCCATTTTTTTATTTTTATTTCCTTCTTTTACAATTATTTATGAAAAAAAATCATTCAAATCTTATCTTTTTATCACTCATTTTAATGTTTTCCTTTTATTTTTTTCCCTTTCTGAACAATAATAAAAATCATAAAAGTACCTTTATCGTATCTTGCATAAAATTTGCAATAATAGATAATCTTATTTTAATTTCTTGTAAAATTATCAAATGATTTTTTTACAATTTTTTTTATTGTGTCATGAGTGTACTCAATTATCGAAAATAAGATCTATTATAAAGATAAAATAAAATAAGATTTTAAGAAATCTTATATTTTATGTGACAAAAATCCATAATATATATAGTTGTTACCTAATGGTGTTTTTTAATATTTGTCTTAATAAGTGCTACACTAATTTTTTCGGGTACACATTTATTTTAACATTTCCATTTTTTATTTTATTGATTTTCTCCCATGGTCCCAAGTGTAATATTCACTGCCATAAAATATAAATATGCATATAATTAATAATAATAATAATAATAATAATAATAATAATAATAATAATAATAATAATAATAATAATAAGTAATTGAGTTTGATAGTTATTCTATGGTTACAAGTAAATAACGGGGACAAGAACTCATGTTATCTCTTACCCAATCTTTGTTAATGGGTTCATTCACTTGTCTTTGAATCTCTTTAATTTCTTGTCGATTGTTTCTATAGGCTAGTTTATTGGGCAATGAAGCTCTCAAAATGAGATCAATTTGATGCTCAATTCCCTTCAAAGGTGGTAGTCCACTTAGCTACACTTGTTGGAAACACATCTTGAAAATCCTACAAAAAGATTAACACTAGAAGGCAACTCAAAATCATCAAATGTATTAGTGGTCAAAATCTGATTTTTGCAAATCAAGACGTATAGGGGTTGCTTAACAAGAAGTAACCTCTTAACCTAACTTTTTGTGGCTAAGTAGTTCTCCATCACTTCAAGTGTTTCATTCTTCTTTTGATCACTCTTTTTTTTCTCAAGTGTTTTACTAACACTTTCTTTTTCTCTCTTCTCTTAAAAAAGTTTTTCTCTCATTTTCTTTTGATCCTCACACACTTCTTGTGGACTCAAAGGTTTGAGCATAATGTTCTTGTTTTAGTGCATGAAAGAGACCTTGTTGGTGAACCCATTATGATTGACTCTTTTATCAAATTGACACGGTCTCCCTAAAAGTAAGTGGATGACCTCCATAGGAACAACATTATAAAGCACCTTATCATTATATTGTCCAATGGAAATGTCCACCTCAACTTGCTGCTTCACTTGCACCTCTACATTCATACTAAGCCATTGAAGTTTATATGGCCTAGGATGTGGTTTAGTAGCTAAATTTAGCTTTGACATTAATCTAGCACTAGCCACATTGGTGCAACTACCTCCATCTATGATCACCATGCACACTTTGTCATTGATTAAACATCTAGTGTGAAAGATGTTTCTCTTCGGCTTTCTTCCATAGACTTTAATTGGCTACCAGGTAATAATCTAATCATCAATAAATCTTCCTTCGGTGTCTTCTCCTTCTCAATTTCCTCACTTTCCTCTCTCTCTTCAACCTCGTATTCACTTATATATTCTCCTTTTCTAAGAACCATGGACCTTTTGTTAGGGCTCTCATAAGCATAGTATTCTAGGCATTGACACTTGAAACACTTCACATCTCTACTTCTTTTAGAGGGTTGTTCTTAGGACTTTGAAGGAGTCTTTCAAGGAATAGCTGTGAAACTACTAGAAGTAGTAGTTCCATCTTTCTTTCCTTTGTCCTTCTAACTTGAAGATCCAAAGTTGGTAGAAATCTTCTTGGCCACTCCTTTTCTTTTGAGTTGTTTCTCCACTCAAATTGCTTTATGAAGTAAATCCTCCATCTCAACAAATTTCTATAACTTAACAATATCACGTATATCATTATTCAAACCACTAATAAATCGGGTCATAGTTACCTCTTCATCTTCTTCAATCTTTACTTAAATCATTAGCATATCCATTTCCTTGAAATACTCCTCAACCCTTTTATTGCCTTGAGTAAGTTTTTGGAGTTTGAGTTTCAAGTCCTTTGAGTAACTAATCAGCACATACCGCTTCCTCATAATCCTTTTCATCTCAGTCCATGTATCAACAAAAGCATAGTCGAAAAATTCTTTGGTTGTAAGTCTCACCTTTTGGGTCTCCTCATAATTGTTGTATGAGAAAACATGCTCTATTTTCGTCTCCCATTCCAAGTATGACTCCAGATCATTTTTTCCGTTAAACAGAGAAATGTTAAGTTTGACTCCGTCAAGCCTACTTGGTCTTGCTACTCCATCATTCCTTCTCCTATTTCTCCTTTCTTTTTCATCTTCGGGACCTTTATTCTCCAACCGATCTAATATTTCATGGAGCTCATTGTTATATCGTATCATTAATCATTTCAAATGTTGTGTCAATACCCTTATTTGGACTGGACTAAGTCTTGCTCCTTGATTGTAATTTTCCTCCTCTGCCATCACAACAAATAGATAAAAAACAATAAACAAAATAATATTGTAACCTCACCACACTCAAGTATATCACACAATTATGGCTTTTCTTCAAATAAAAACACTCTTGCCTTTCATCACTGAAATTCTCCTTAGGTTCTTAGGCAATTCAAGAGATTATTGTTAGACAAATGGCATCTAGAGGGGGGAGGGTGAATAGATGCACAAATTAAAATAGGTGTCAAATTAAAAATTTATTTGTGAGTCAATAATTTATTAAAGCGGAAGCAATAATATAATCAGGAAAAGAGAAAGAGATAAGGAAAAGAGAAGAGCACACAGAGATTTATACTGGTTCGGGTATAGCCAACCCTACATTCAGTTCCCAGTCAACTCTTAACACAAGAGTGACTCCCCATTCATTATCTTTCAAATTCAGTTTACAAATTACAATCAACTTAGCAGAAGAACCAGTAAAAAGTAA